CAATTACAGGGAACCAGCCCGAGATTTCCGGGGATAAATGAATACAAATAGCTCCTGCTTCCTGGCCTCCTCCCACCACCCCTGCTGCTCCCAGGGCTGGCCGATGCTTCAGCTGGTGGGTGGCTGGCGCTAAGCCTGGGGTGGAGGAGGAGGGGACAGAGACCACGAGCTGCTGGCCCCATGAGAGGGCAGGGACACAGGACAGAGGAAGCAGGAGGCACTGTCTGCCCTTGCCCCAGCCACCCCAACTCAGTTCTTCCCAGGACTCAGCAAAGTCTCTCCCCTTAAAGGCTCTGTCCACTCAACCAGCATTGGCAAGCACCTTGTGTGCCAAGCCCTGGCCAGGGACCAAGGATAGGGGCCAGGTGGCCCGTCAGATCCTGGCTCCTGTGCAGTCTACTGTCTAGCATGGAAGTCAGACCAAAAAGGGGAGGCAACAATAATGCATGCTGGAATCTGAGGGTCAGAGTCCTGACTTGGCAAAACTCATCGCCTCTTCATACCCACACAAGCATTCGAGTTTCCCACAGGCAAGGGCAGGCGGGGCCCTCTGGGGACCCAGATGCAGGTGGTTCCTGCCCCCAGGAACAACTCATCTAACAGAACGAAAGCCACATGCATAACTATCAGGCAAATGGAAACTGACACGTGTCCTGAGGGGTGTCAGTGGAAGGTGGTCCCATCCCTGGGGAACATGGGAAGCCTTCCTGGAGGAGGCATCTGTGAGCAGATCCGGGCCTCCATGCTGGGGTGGGACAATCTGACCAGGTGGACAATCTGGGGCAGGGCCCGACTGCAGGGTGTGTAGGGTGATGGACCCACACCAGAGAGGGCAGAGACAGGGGTCCTGGGGACAAATGTGGGCACAGAGGAACAGCTTCTGTCTGCTGAGGGTTCACTTCTCAGAAATAAAATCCTGACAGACCCTGAAACCCAGGGTGGAACCGCAGTGACTGCTGCTGCCCGCCCCCACCCCCGACCCGTTAGGCGCTGTGGTGGGTGTACGGCATGAGCTCATTTACTCCCAACACCTGACTTACAGACGAGGAGACCGAGGCTCAGAGCGGCCTCCAGCTGGAGAACTGCAGTGTGTGGCACTGACCCTCATACTCCAGCTCAAAGTCCAGCACCTTCCCTTGGCGTCAGTGTGGCTCCCAGCCCTGGGATAATGGGACACCCAGCCCACCGAATGGCTACCTCTGCCAGTTCCAGACAGGGATTCTCGGTGTCGGCTCTGAACACCCATGAGCACAGCTCTCCACACTCAGCAAAGGCCCTCCATCGCTTCACTGAATCCTCCCGATAACCCCGTGAGGCCTGAGGAATGAGAACACGGCCGGGGAGCTGAGCACTGCCCCGTGTCACACATCGAGGACACGGTGGCTGTGAGGACACCTTGGCTCCTGAGGCTGCGCTGCGTGACTCCACTTCTCCCGAGTAGGGAGGCCCAGCCAGAACGAGCGGAGGACAGGGGTACCTGTGGGTATCCACGCCTTGCTGGACATCAGCAGACGGCTGAGCCATCACCCCTCCTCTGTTGTCCTTTGAGGGGGCCGCCTCACACCTGCGGCTGCTCACACCCATTCCTCATGGCCTCGGAGCCAAACCTGCAGCTGGAAGGCAGGGGGCTGCCAGGACCCCAAGATGGGCACTTGGAGGAGAAGCCGGGGGAGTGGGCTAAAGGTCAAATAGGAAGGGTCTGGGGAGATGCATCAGGTCGCCAGGACTGCGGGGCACGCTGGACCCTGCAGGGACCTCAGCTCCCGAGACGAGCTCTGAGTGGAAGGTGTCAGTGTTACTGCACCAACACCGGGAATCCGGCCTGGAGTGAGCCGAGGGTGCTGATATGCTCCCAGAGCCTGAAGGCCTGGACTGAGCAAAACCAGGCCCAGGGGCGTGGGGTCCAGAGAGCCTGGAGGCCTAACGGTGCCTTCTGCCGTCCCCACTCTGCAGTGGCTCTTGAGAGAGAGACGGGTCAGCTCCCCTGGGGCGTGTGGCTTGTGGCCTCTGCCATGCCTGCTCCCCATCCTGGACCCCCTCCCTACCCTCCTGGCCTCAGGAGCCTGGGTGCGGGGCACAGAGGGCTCAAAGGTGGAGGGGAGCAGGTGCTGGATGGCCCCCCAGGAGCTGGAGCCGGCCCTACGTCATCCGTTCTCAAGGACATCTTGCTATGGCCAGATCTGAGGGCAGATGAGGAGCCAGGAGGCCATAGCGTGGTCAGGGCAAGAGGAAGCGGGACTAAGATGCTGGGTCTTCCAGGAGAGCTGCTCAGCGCTCCTGTGTGATGGGGAAGACTGAGTGTCCAGCTAATCTGAGACCCCACAGGCAGAAACAGATGTGGGCCACCTGTCCATCCCTCTGTCTCCACATGGGACTGGACAGAGGGTGTAGGCCATGGATAAAGATGGACGGTAATAAGCTACTCACAGACAATGTTTCTAGGACCCACGCAACAGGATATGCAGTGTAAACCCAGCATCCCGATTTTGGAAATACAAATTAACAGATTAAATTAAGTAAATGTATAAACTTATGCAAAGACGCCTGCATGTATGAAACACTGAAAGGAAATGCATCAGAGGTGGCTGTGGCTGTCTTTTGGAGGTGGGATTATAAATAAACTGTGTTCTTCTTTTGGATTTTCAACAATCTATAAATACTAAATACTTTGGAATGTTTTCCCAAGGTTTCGTTGGGGGTAGCTTGTATAAGATTAATCACTTCAGCTAATGAATATGTGAGAATCCACTGAAAACTATGGCTCCTATTTATAAATGTTGATACAATGAGCGATAAGTTAAATAGTGACTCTTCATAACAATTGTTTTGCTCTCTTGTTAGTGCCGTTGAGTCAGTTCTGACTCCCAGTGGCCCCGTGGACAGGACAGCAGAGCGGAACCCCGCCCAGTCTTTCTGCACCATCCTCTCACCTTCCGGTACTATGTCAGACAATTCTCCACTGCTATTCATAGGGTTTTCACGGCCAATTTTCTCGGAAGTGGGTAGCCAGGTCCTTCTTCCTAGTCTGTCTGAGTCCGGAAGCTCTACTGAAACCTGTCCACCATGGGTGACCCTGCTGGTACCTGAAATCCCGGTGGCATAGCTTTCAGCATCACAGCCACACGCAGCCACCACAGTATGACAACTGACAGACGGAGTGTGGTTTCCTGACCGGAAACAAACCTGGGCCCTGGCAGTGAGAGTGCCGGATCTTAACCACTAGACCACCAGGCCTGGCCATAAAAATTGTACATCTCTGTTTATTTATTTATCTTAAAAAAAAAAAAACCATGGGATTTCTGCAACGTATTGCACACCTATCAGTGATCCTGAATTATTCAAAAGTATGTACAATTACGCAAAAGTGAAGAAGTACATTTCTGTGAGTTTACTTACTTAGAGACTCTGAGTATCTGAATATTCTACTTATTTGAAGGTTGAAGAGTTTCAAGAAGTGTAAAAATGGACAAACAAGACCTAAGGAGTCTGAGAAATCCAGCAGAAATGCTATGACACGTCAGAGGAGAGCAGACACCAGGCTGAGATGCAGCTCTGAAAGCAAGATGGAGAGAGACCACCAAGAAGGAAGAAGACAGGTGGGAGGAGGAGCCGCCACGGAGGGGCCGCCAGGAGCCAGACGAAAACCTTCGAGGTGCAGACTTCCTGTAACGCCTAGCCCTGGAAAACTCGGGTTGGATCCCACAGGACCACCTCCTACCTCGTGAGCCCCCACTCCTCCCCCAGTCATGAGAAGCCTGCTTCCCTGTGACCCCTGTGCACCCTCCCTGTGACCTGGCAGCAGGCGCTCTGGTCACAGGCCACTCCCAGTGTCCTCAGAGCCTGGCCTCGGCCAGCACCTCAGCTGGGAGGCAGTAGGGTGGTCACGGGTTTATCATGAAATTCATGATGAAATGAGAGAGGCAATATTTCCTTTACACTCAATTCTGCTCAAAGAGTGTAAGTCACACTGGCTACAGTTTTTATATAAAAAAGAAAAAGAAAAGTTCGTTCTTTGTTTCTACATGGCCAGGAAAGGCTGATGGCCCATTCCACATCGTGGCGGTCCTGGGTGGTAACAGCCACTGCCCGCTGCGTCCTTCCTGGAGCAGCCATGTGCCACACTGGGACCACGGCACCATCTTCAGGAGGGGCAGCTCAGGCTGGCGGGGCAGTGACAGAACAGCCCTCTCCACCCAACTTCCAGCTCATGCTGCCAGCCTCCCCCGGCCCTGGTGGGTGACGCAGTAAAACCCTAGCTCTGCTACTGGGACCACTTGCCCCTCACCCCACAGTGCTTCATTCCCCATGACCGACCCAGCCCAGAAACCTAGAAGGCAGCCCAAGCCTCGATGCACACAATTCCACAGGCCCAGTGCTGCCCTGACTCAGGGACCCTGCTCGTGGGGCCCCCAGCCCAGCCCAGCACTGTGCGCTGGCAACACTTCCCAGAGCAAGTCAGGGCAAACATAGGCGGAGAGTTCCTGCCCTCCCACCTGCCTGTGGCTCAGGCCCTGGCCTCTCTGGCAAACTTGAAAAGCACGCGCTGGACAGAAACCCAGTGGCTTCTCTTTTCTTGTTCTGTGTGCTGTGTCTCACATTGACCTCTGGCTATGGTCCAGCTGCTCACTTTGGCAGCATCAAAGCCATCTCCCTGTCCCAACACTAACCTTCACCCCTTTACATCAGTCCCCAGTGGGTGCTGCTGATGCTGGTCACCCTCCACCTCGCTGCCCCTGCCCCTCCTAGGGATGGGCTGATGCAGCTGCAGGTGGAGGCCGACGTGGAGAGGAGGCTAGAGTGGGGCTGGGTAGGGGGTGGGCTGGCACTGTCTGTGGAGGTCCAGGACTGTGGGGTGAAGCTGGGGGTGGCCGAGGGGTGGCAGGCCCCCCTCCGCCCGGCTGACCATGACTTCCCAAGCCCTGGCTGCTCCGGCTGTACGCAATACCCATCAAGGCAGACGGCCCCGTCACCCACGCCGAGGTGCATGCTGGTGGGCCTACCTTGAAGATGAGGCAGTCAGCCTTGTGCTCCGCGTACATGGAGGTCAGCCGGTACTGGTTCTCTGTGGTGATGTCTATCTGGTAGCCTGTGAGCGCATAGCAGACCTTCCGGAACTCCTGGATCTTAGTCTGGAAGACCTCCTTCAGCCGCTGGTTCTTCAGCTCTGCACTTTCCACTTGCTTCTTCAGCTCTGAGGGAGGAAAGGACGGACAGGTGAGCTCACCAGCCAGCTGGACACAAGGGGCAGTGCTGGGGCCACAAACCCGGAGGAAGGACAGGGACTCAGAGGAGCAGCAGTGTGCCAGGGGCAGAGGTCACTGACTGAGGGACAAGGTTGAGGTAGGGCCCCAACGTGAGCTACTCCTGCCCTGGGAGGGACGGGCTGCACGCCACACCAGCGAGCCCTGACGCATGCACTCAGTCACCGGATGACACGAACAAGCTGATCAACAGCCTGACCTTCTGGTAGTAATAATGATCAAGTTATTTTAGCAAAAACAGTAACTCTCAAGACAACAGTGCCTCTGAAAGCCAGCTACCTTCTGGGCTCTGAGCTCCAGACTCAACACCTGGCCTGGTTCCTTTCAAAAGGATTGGCTCTCAGCTGGCACAAGGACAACGGGGAGCACCGAAGACTGTCCCGAGTCAGGACACGATGGGCTGGCGATAACGGAGTGTGGACTTGCCCCCTTACCGGCCGACTTCAGGCAGGAATGCTCTGGAGGAGGGGGCACTGACTGGGAACCCTGACCCTGGACTGAGGTCCTGGGTCTGCACACACCACCCGGGTGATTTGACAAACAATGCCCAGTCTGCAGGCAAGTCATTGCCAGGACCAGATGCCCACTCTGAGAAGCAGCGAGGGAACAGGAACAGCGAGAGCAGAGGTTCTTTGGAAATGGCAGATCACGGTGCCCTGTGGGTTCCCCTGCCGGCCACCCGGAGACGAGACCACAGGTGAGGACAGGCTCCTGTGCGGTGGGTCTGAGCGGATTCCCCTGGGCCCACCATCCACCCACCCTGTGCTGCTCTAACTGGACTGTTCAGGGCAGAGGCCCCCTGAGCCCACCTGCCACTCCCACCACGGTTTATAGCCGCACAGGGAGAAACCAGCTGTGCAAAGTCAGCAGGAGGATACACAGCAATTACCACAAATCCTTCACTCAAGGTGCCTTCCAAGTAATCAAACCTCGATTTATCCCCCCATTAATTATCGAGGCTGGCTTTACTTAAGTGTACACGCAGTCGTCTCTGAAGTCAGCCGCTTCCTAGTGGTCCTGTCTGGAGCTGACGGCAGGGAGCCCCTCCAGGGCCTGGGGTTGCCCCCGGGCAGGACGGGAGACCAGCTGGCCAAGGGGGTTGTGGGGAAACCCCAGGTCTCGGAGGTGGTCAGCCTGGGTTTGAGTTTGGCCCTCTCTGCAGGCTGTGTGAGTCCCAGGACCGCCCCACTGTGCCAGGGACAACAGTCCCTCCTCCTCAGGCTGAATCACAGAACCCGTGGTGTGTCCTGTGCTGGTGTGGGCGCCCGTGTCCAGGCCTGGTAACCACCAGCTCCCCAACGGAGCTGAGAGCAGGCAAGGTCAAGTCAGCCAGTTTAAGATGAGAGGATGCAGTCAGGGTCACTTCCTGGAGGAGGTCGGGGGGACAGGGGACAGGGGAGCCTGCGGTCCAGGGACAGAAAGCCATTGAAAACCTCCCTACCCTCCTCTGCTCCTCCTGACCCTTGGCCTCGAGCCTGTCACCACACCCTCTGGCTCTTGGAGCTCGTTGGTCTCAGAGCCACCTTCAGAAGCTGTCACAAGGATCAAGTTAGATCCTTCAGGAGGCTGGCAGCTGAGCACTGGGAAGGTTCAGGTGACGCCTACGACGGGGGGAGCTCAGCTACGCACCAGGCATGGACACCGCCACCAATGTGCCATGAGGTGGCCGTGGACTCTCCCCATTTTACAAACGAGGACACAAGGCCCCAAGAGATCAACCACTTGGCCACAGGTCAATGGCAGAGGTACAGCTGTCCAACCCCAGGGCCAAACTCCTGATAACCCCACCGTCTCTCACATGCTCTGGAACACACCAGGTTCTGAACAGACACCCCAGGGCTTGTCTATACCACCTGCAGCTCTGCGGGGGACTCAGCTTGGCCTAGTACTGGCCACGCTCTGTTTCCGAATGGGGCGTCCTGATACCAGGGCACTGCTCCTTCCGGCCTCTCCACAGCGCACAGAGGGGCCGCACTTGGCGCCCATCCACTTGAACGTCCATCCACCTGGCCGTGTGCCCTGCCCTCACCTGCCCTCTATCCATCACCCGGCTCTACAGCCCTGGCACACATTGTTATTCTGGAGCCAACAGCCTCTCCGCCGGGGACGCAGGCGCGGAGTCCTTGATTAATTGAGTAATCAGACTGTGAAATCAAAGGGGTAATTGGCAGCTCTGACCCAAAGCTCTTCCCTGTGTTCCTCAGCCGGCCCGCCCAGGACGGATCCGTCAGCAGGACGAAAATCTCCAGAAGGAAAATTCACTGACCACGCTTCCGCAGTGATGCTTCACCCCTGCCAGAGACGCACTGCCTTTAATAGATCTCAGGTGTCCGATGGGAAAAATTAAATTTTGGTGATAAATGCAGCCTGACCTTGGAGAAGGAAGCAGCCCCTTCGCCTCAGATCTCAGCATGCTCCCTGTTACGCAGTTCACTGGCTCCAATGAGTGGCCGGAACTCAGGTCAATGAGCAGGGGTACGGCGGGGAGGGGGCCTTCCCTCTCGGGTGAAATGTGCCAGCCCACCAGGAGTGGCAGGGTGTGGCCACGCTCACTTTGGGCACCTGCTACTCTGCGCCAGCTACCAGGACCTCCAGGAAAGGCACCTTGCCACCTTCCCCAGCAGAGCCCTCACAACACTACGAGGCAGGTCTCCCAGTGCCCTTTGACGGGCAAGAATATGGGGGCTGGGAGAGGCGGTGACTTCCTCAAGGTCACACGGCCTGTTGGGTAGAAAGGGGACCTGACCTGTCTGTCTGGTCCAGGTGGGACAGGAGGGATGCAGCTTTCAGGTAAAGCCCACCTGGGTAAAGTGTGCTCTGGGAGGGAAACCCTGAACTGTCACCTTGATTTGGGGCATGGCAGAGTCAGTGTTTTGACCTCCCCTTTATTCTTGTAGTTCAATTGCTTACATAAACGTGAATGAATAATTCACATGATGCTTTGGATTGAATAAATAAAAGATGGGCTTTCTGCCTTGGAAGCGCCACGGCTCTGACACAGCGTCTTCTAAGAGCGAGCTGAGCCTTCCTCTGGGCAGGCTGAGTGGCCTGAGCGAGTGGCACTCGAGAGACGTCCTCTGGGGTCTGTGGTGACCCCACTCCACACCCACCGGGAGGCAGCCAGAGCCGCCCTGTCAAGGCCCAGCGGCTGCTTTCAGGCCTGACCTGCTGGTGATGACCACACGTGGGCAGGCAGAGCCAGCAGAGCAGACAAGTGGCCCCGTCAGGTCTGCCCAGAGCTCCTGGGCCGCCCACCTCAGACCCGCCCTGTCGTGTGAGGCCCAGGCCACTTGGCTGTGCTGGGGATGCAGCACCAGACACTTAGGATGAAGGCCTCACACCTGGGCCCCGGCCGCTGGCGCTCTGGGAAGCCTAGCCAAGGGCCCCCTCCCCTCCCCACCAGGCCCCTCAGCCCTGAGATCAGGCCTACACTCTGTGAGAGGCTGCTGAGACCCTTCACGCCCAGTGAGACTCACTCTCACTCTCTCTTGCCTCTCCTGCCCTCCACTGCGCTGGCCAGGGGAAACTGTTCATAAACCGCCATCTTACCTCCCTGCCCGAGGCCTTCCCTCCTCACCTGCTGCCACCTCGCCCCCAACACCTTGGGCCCCTCCTTCCCTCTCCAGCCCTTCACACAGGCTCTCCGCACGTCCTCGGTGAGGGACAGGGGATGAGGAGGGAGGCCGGTGGACAAGCAGGCGTCAGAGAAGAGAGGCACATGATCATCCCGAACCCAGGTGCAGAGGCAGGTGGAGCCTGTGTGGGCCAGGATGGACATGGAGGTCAAGGGGCAGCTGAGGCCAGGGCTTCTGAGCAGCGCCCTCTACTCCCTGACCTGGCCTGCGGGCTGGCCCAGGCCTACTGGCGGCTTCCACGTCCACGGGAGGTCATCCGAGAGCTCTGGCCTCCACTCCTCCTCTGCCATCTATCCCCAACCCCTGGCTCCTTCTGGACTCACAGAAGGCAGCTGTGAATCTCCGTGGGAAAGATGCAGAACAAAAATAAACTTCGCTCTGTTATATAAAGGCTGGCAGGAGGAGAGCTGCTTCACCCCAAGAGCAGAGATGTCAGGATAAAGGAGCGTTCGTGGGCACATGCCTCTGTGATCCCGTTCACAGCCTGAATGTGGAGAACGGTTTTATTCCAGAGGGGTGGGTAGATCAAGGGAGAGGCAGAGGGACGGCCGGACGCAGACACGCAGGAGAAGTCAGGCCGGAGCCCAGCCTGGCATCAGCAGGGCTCCAGCACGTGGCCTCACTGGCCAGCAGAGCCCAACTGTGCTTCTCTTTCACTGAAAGTGCACACACCACAGCGACTGCACTTCCTTCTTACCAGTCTGCAGGCGAAAGGGCAGGGAGTGGGGGTGGAAAAGGTCTCTGCTCTGTGCTCTTGCGCAGCCCCGAGGGCCGCCGGCACTCGCAGCAGTACCTCCAGCTCTCAGTCAGACCCGCGGGATGGCTGACCCACACTCTGGGAGGGAGACGGGGTCCAGGCCTTTCAGAGAAGGAAGGAGCCAGCACCTGGCACTTTCCTCTCAGGTCTTTTTATTCCTGAGTGTTAAGACATACACGCAGATAAGACGGCGGCAGAAACGCTTTTAACGATGCAAACGGCTCTCAGGAGCGTGACCCCCAGGGTCCGCTTGCCCATGTCCCTCCTTTTCTGTGGGCCTAAGCTGTGCCCACACCCGAGCTAGGCCAGACAGCACTGGAACACAGCCAGCTGGGCTGTGGGTGATGGGTACTGCCCACCGAGGGAGCCTGGGCCTGGTCTGACCCTGCACTGACGCCCTGCTGAGAGCTGGCCAGCCCTGTCCTGCAGCTGTTCTCTGTGGACAGACAGACCTCCAGCACCACCACCCGCTCCATCCAAGTCCAGAACGATTCTGAAGTAGAGCAAGTACCGTCCCCTGCTCCCCAAGCACCGGCCC